GGGCCAGCCTGAGACTCGGTGTGGAGGCTTCCAAAAAAGTGCTCTCCACCATCCTCTGACTCCCCTCTTCCTTCTAGCCCTCGATTTCTCCCGCCTCCTAATTTCTCTCCCCTCTGCTTTCCCTTTCTCCTCCTCCCGACCCTCCAGACCCCGGGCCGGCCTCTCGCCCCGCCCGGAGTCCCGAGAACAGTCGGCTCCCCGTAGGGAGGTGGGCAGGACCCCAGCGGGGAAGGGGAGGGAGGCAAGGATTGGGCGGGTCTGTGGGGGACACCGCTGGAGAGAATGCGAAAAAGTTGTAACATCTGCCGGACCGAGCCCCAGGTGGAGGGGAGGGGCGTCCAGCGGCGGCTCCGCCCCCGGGCGGGAAGCCCAGGCCGGCTGGGCCCTCTGGCTCCAGCCTCCGCCCTGGCCAGACTCAGGAAAGGAGGGAGGGGGGCTCCTTGGAATTCGATGGAATAGCTCTGGAATGGCCCGGTCAGACATTCCTCGATCATGGAGTCTCAGCTTCTCTGAGTGCCAGTCCTGGAAGGAACATGCAAAAATTTCTATTCCAACCGGGTCATTCTACAGCTGGAGAAACTGAGGCCCTGAGATGGCAGGGAACACGTCTATATCACAGAGCAAGATAGTTCTTCCCTGGGCTGCACAATGGTTGTTTGAGTGGCAGCAGAGACAGCAATGGAGAATAGAGACAACTTTGGCAAGCACCAGGGGCTGGAAATCAGGAAACTAGGTTCTGGTCTTGCCAGCTTCCCTCTCTCCCCAACTCCTCCCCCTCCTCATTCTACAATTCACAGCTAGACTCTTAGACTGCCAGTGCTAGAATCCAGAGGGCAGGAGCTGTTGTATACATCTTGTTATGCACAGGGTCCAGAAGCTCAATCAGTGTATACTGCAGGTATGAATGGATGAATGGGCCTTGAGTGTCACCCAGGCCAACACCCACCCAAGGAAATCTCTGCAACAGGGAAGGCAAGCTTGGGGCACTCCTGGGCCAGGCAAGTATCATAAATGAGTAAAGAAGGGGACTGCTGTATTGCCAGAGGAAGGCATGGGCTGCATGGAGCAAAAGGCTGCAGCCTTGTGTCCAGCTAACCATTGTCATGCAAGAATCTGGACTGGTGTTTTCAGATCTTCTGATTTTCCAAGAACGCCCAAATCCAGATTATAATGAGAAACATTCCAATTGTTAAGAGCTAATAACTAATTTAAAGCAAATGTAAGCACTATACAGGCCAAATCAAATCTATCTGAGGACTATTTTAGGCCATTAGGTACCTGTTTGCAACTTCCACCCTGCATCGTTTTCCAGATTTTAACTAGGCTGTATTTTTTAATGGGAAAACTGAATTAAACAAAACCAATTAGGCTTTTTTTTTTTAACTACTGGGAGTTCAGTCTTTAATATACTGATCTCCAAAAGCAGGCGTTGCTAAAACAGTATTTCCCAATTTTATGTGACCAAGGACCCTCTTTTTCACAGAGCTTCTCCGAAAGCCGGTGTTTGGGGAACTTTGAAAAACAAAAACTGCCCAGGTGGGTCTTCTCTCTCAGCATCTTTCCCCTGCCAATATTCTGCCGTGATCCCTTCCCTTTTCTTTAAAACCACTGCGTGTGGGGAAAGAAACCAGACTTCCAAAATAGCAGCCCAAGTGAATCTGCATTTTGAAATGAGGGCTGCGTGGGGCTGACCACTCTTGTTTGCTCAGAGCCCCATATTTAGGATGACCAGATTTATCAGAAGGGAAAACTGAGCCTGTTGTTCTGGCAGAAGAAATGTTGAGGACAGACAGGAAAAATACAGCTTCCTGAGGGAACGCTGCTAAAATGGTGCTTCCGGAGGCTTCAGCCTGAGGCTGTCCAGGGGGTCAAAGTGAGACAGGTCACAGGAGGTCAGGTGGATTTGGGCTTTGTGTTCTTTGCATTGTCCCAGACTTGAGGCAGGAGGAACTGGAGATATAGAATGAGGAGGAAACGGCAAGGGGGAAAGGGTGGGGATTCAGCCTAGAAGAACTAGGTCCAAGGAGGCCAGCTCACAGGCTGCCGGCTGCCACAGGGACAACACCAGCAGAATTTCTGAACGCTCAAGGCTGTGGGTTCTGACATCAGACTACTTGAGTTTAAATCCTGCCACTTATTTGGGGTCAAGCCTTGGGCAAAGTATTTTGCCTCTCTCAGCCTCAATTTCTTCATCTGAAAATTGGGATGATAATATAAATGAGATATAATACAGTGCTCAGTAAATGCCCAGCCCATGGTAAGCACTCAGTGAATGTGAATGGTTACGATGATTGTTCTCTGGGCTTCTGAGAGAAAAGGCTTAGTCCTGTAGGTGAAAGTTACTGGGAAACAGATTTCAGGCCAATTTAAGGGATTGCTTTTGTAGGAGATCTGGCAGCTTGCTTAATAAAAGGATGGCAGTGATGGGTGAATCACCATGTGGAGAGGAGTGGGTGGACTCTTGTTCCCCAATATTCACATTTCTTTTAAGAGTCTTCAGTAATCACTGAAACCCACAGTGGCTTCAGAGGGCTCCATCTCCCCTCTAATGTTCTAGGGAAATAAACACTTACCCTCAGCTCTTCCTTCAATGCCATTACACAACTGGGCCAGGCTGCAACACTGAAGCCAGACATTTCCAAAGGCTCAGGGATGACAAGGGGGGAAATAAAACACAAAGAGTACTGTGAATCCAGGTCATGTCACTTTCAAGATGTGGCTCACTCATCTTCCCTTTGTGTTCTCTACTGTATGCCAGCTGCCCTCTTCCCTGGGACAATGTCCATCAGCTCTACCCCCATCCAGGTAGACACTCAAGAACTCCAAGACGTCTCAAGTTCAGGCCCAAGAAGTAAGGCTCAGAGAAACAGAAGTTCCCTCTCCAGCTAAACCAGCCTTTGCAGTTTGCATGTCAGGACCATCTGTTTACAAGATGACTGACAACCGGGAAGCCCCGTGCCCCTCATTCACGTAGGTGCACACTTACCTCGTAACCCCCAAAGGATAGCTGCATCGAAACCCTACAAGAAGCCTAACACCTGCACGCGAAATGCAGATCAGATGTGGCAGATCTCCATTGATGAAATCAGACTTCAAAAAGCACTGAGCTCCTCATTACTGGAACTGTGCAAGGAGGGGATAAAGTGCCCATCTGTCCAGGAGGTAATAGGAGAGATTCTTGAACTAGAGATTCTTTTAGCAAAACTCAAAGACTTTTTGAAAGTTCTTTCCAGCCTGAAAATATTATGAACCTAATTATTTAGCCCCAGAAAATTTTTTAGTACACGGAGCTATAAAAGTGAAAAATGGGTGAGTCTTTTTTTGTCACTTTGTCTTTCATTGCTATGCGTGGTATGTGTGTGTGTAGGTGTGTGTGTATTTGTGTAGAGGTGTGTGTGTGTGTGTAGGTGTGTATGTATGTTTAGCCATCTTTGAACTAAAATTATCTTCGTACAGATATTATTTCCTTCTGACTTAATTGACCTTGGCAAAAATCTTATGCACAGATTATGCATGCTGCCGTCCTCTGGAAGTCAGTTTGCCTAGGCTGGACCAAATCAAGGACCTGAAAGAAAACATAGACAGTCTCTGGACAGACAAAAATGTTACAGAGTTCAATCTTCTAACTTAGAGGAGAGCTCCTCAGGCCTTCCTCACTCCAAGTCTATTGACTCTTCCTCCATACACAATTCTTGCAAGGCTAATGACTTTACTTCCCAGCCCAAGAATGCTGGAAGCAGCTCGGAGGGAATACATAAGAAGGTGGCTTGAGGGACTTGCCTGTTTATAATAATACAGTTTCATAGTGAAAACATTAGGAAGAAACAAAAGAATAAGCATAAAAATCAGGCTGGTAAATTCCAAAAGCCCAGGAGTTTGGGGCCATTTGGTGCAGGAGCAAAGAGCCATATCCACCAGAATAGAACCAAGGACATCACCGTATTGCAGCCCAGCATAGAACTGACTGACGGAATGCCCTCCAGAGTTTAAATCCTGTTCAGTATCCTCTTTTTAAGAAAGCTGGGGAAGACGTCAATGATTTTTCCCATCCAAAATGATTACTATGACAAGTTCATGGTCTAAGCTCAGCTTCAGTTGTAGAACAGCCTAAAGTTGCAGACTCAGGAGGCGGTACCGTCTGCAGTGGTGCCGTGGTGATGAGGATGCTGCACTGCTATGATGCTGGAGCTCAGGCTCAGCACCCGTGGGGCACGCTCCCCGGTGGAAGGCCTGGCTCATCCACC